TGAGTATAATGTTGAAATACTACACAACGCATGTTTTAGTCAAGTGCAGACGAAAGAGTTTGAATAACCGACAATACTAGTTCAACCTGACGATGCGTTTTCTGTTTTTGTTGTTAAAACGGCTTAATAGTTTTACTTCGTTTCGTATTTCTACTCGTATGTTCAATGTACTGTGGCCTTTAGAAATATCTAGATYCATTACAAAACGTCAGTTCGTGTAATATCCTCTATGTCATTAGAGAGCGGGTTCTATAGGTACGTATTGCCTTTCCTGGACGTATATTATGGTGATTTATACTTTCCCTTAGCTCATACATTTATTTGGTGTTTTATTTTGTGTGTGTTTTTAAGACAAAAAGCAAGGAAGTCCTTGCTAATAGCTTTTACTTTTCAAATAGTTTAATTTTTTTTTWAAATATTTGCCCAGATACGGAATAGTGATCCCGATAAAAATAAATCATTCTGTAAGTTTATTTAGACTAAAGGTTAACAAACGTCCGTGCCTTGCATCGGGACGCACTAGTTTGGAAAGAGAAGACAGAAGTTTGACTTCATTTTCGTTTTTGGCCGTAGAAGAAAAAATTGAAATTAATCGAAATGGGGGAGCGACAAGCAACCAATCACAAGAAGAATCATCCCATTAGAGATTCTGTTAATTATTAATAAAAACAAGATTAAAATCTTCAGTTCTCTTCCTTTCTCGCATTCACTTTCCCCCTTGCATAAAAGTCGGCAGTCGTGAAGTTCTGATATCAATTTATACAAATAAGTTATTGAAAGTTCGTATATTCTTGTCATGTGTGGAATATGTCTAAGGCAACATTTAGACGAGAAGGAATAATTAAATACATACGAAGTCATTACCAGAACACAAAAACGGCACAAAGTACTCTAGCCTGACTCGTGCTATAGAGGACTTCCACCAACTACATCGAGGTTAGTCCTAATATAAACTGACATTAATACAGGCATTAGGTGAGTAGATAAATTATTATCGAATATTTACTGTACTAATTCGGAGAGTTAAAAACTTTAACACCTTTTAGTTCCGGGAAATAATAATAATAATAATAATAATAATAATAATAATAATAATAATAATAATAATGTAAACATGATATATACAGACAAATAAAACTTGCCATAATAATAATNAATTTTTGTGTTTCTCATTTGATGTACTTTCTCTTAAAAATGGGTCATTTTGGGGGGTAAGTTGCCCTTTAACGATAAACCACATTTTTCGAGGACTTTTTCGTATTTCTTCCTCGCTACTTTTGATAAAATGGTCTCAATTGCCTTACACCTCGGCTCTATATAACAACGGGACGCAAAAAAGGTAGATGAATTTTTTTTCAAAAATCTTCGCAAAGAGTGCTTTATTTATTAATCATATACAGTAGTGGTTTTTAATATTCTTCACAAAAAAAAAAAAAAAAAAAAAAAAAACACCTCATTTTGTGGCAAAAAAGAATGTTCCGTACTTAGCGTTATCAATGTTTTCAATCAAACTTTTGCAAAAGAAAAATGTATAGCCATAGTTTCTTTAGCCGTTCGCCATTAATCTGTCCGACAACCTTGTATATCCCTTCTATAACTCATTAATAATTCAAGAGGACAAAACAAATAACATCACTAGCGTGAAGGAGGTTTGGAAATGTGATCTTAATTAGCATAAAATGTGGGCAACTCATGCTTTGAATTTATCCAAGAATCATTCATAGTTTGAAAATAATAATAACATTAATAATAATAATAATAATAATAATAATAATAATAATAATATTTTACAACCACCACTTCCCATACGGGGCTCTTCCGTGAGGAATTCAGTGCCTTACTTTTAATGCAAAACATGTTGATTATATATAGAGAGTAGTATCGACTAGCTCTGTTAACCCGCGCTGTTTTGTTAGATATACGCTATTAGTGTTTGTAGTATCGCGGGTTTATGAGGGTTAACGTTATAGCCTTAAGTTTTAAAATGCCCTTTTACCATAATTAGATCTTTATGAATCTTTTAGGCTCAGGTCAAACGTCGAACTTCACTGAACCGACGTTCACTAATGACATTAAAGAAGATCGCCTTTTGTTATCCATTGTTCCAATTAGGTTCTATTCATGTGAAGGTCAACGTTTGACATGAGCCTTAGCAGTCTAACTAATTGCATCAATCTTAATAATTCGTTTTCTCAAGGTTGCGTGCGCATCCAAATTGACGGGCCACAAAACTGAAAAACGCAAATTCAGTAAATTGAAAAGACGGTTTTGTATTTGAAGAGGAGAATAAACGATTTGATGAATTCTTATCGGAATATTTTTTGATAGCAATGCCACATGATAATACTCGTGTTCTGGTACCATGGCCCGTCAAGTTCCTTAAATTTGGATGCGCACGTAACCTTTAAAAAACTGTCTATTAAACCCGCAAATGAATAGACCAGAGCTAGCTGAATCACAGCAAACACGTATCAGCCTACAAGACCGGTGATAATCATTAACCACCAGGTAATCTGACTAGGCGCGCAAACTATGATTTCGTTATTGAAAAAAGAATCAATCCCATCGACCACCGCACGCTAAATTCACTTGAGTTTCGTGGAGGCCATCTTGAAAATAAGATAAATTTATGCAACTTTCTCAGTCGCAAATAGACCTTTTCTTGTTGAAAACTAGACACTCTCAATAACAGATATGAAGCTTTACTAAAGTTTAAAAGCATCCTGCAGATTGCCAAGGACTCAAGAGCAGCAAAAGTTGTGGAGTTTGTAGTTAAAGTTACTCAAGAACTGAAATGGAGAAAGTTTTTCGCCAGCTATACTTCAACAGCGATTAAGGTTCATTTTTTAATAAAATAAATGAACAAAAACCTTTCTGATGAAGGTAAATGTAAAGTGGTCTCATCTGGGCAAAAAATTCAAAGCAGAAACATTTTTTAACCCTTAATTTAATCCCAGTTAAATTACATTTCTTCTTGGATTTTCCTTGTGCGCCAGGTGAGTTTGGAATGAAGAACGTGTAAGGGAATGAAGGACGCATAGGAATAAATGGGAAGACTAATGAATAATCACGGCAATTATGAGTGAATCTTGACAAACCGCCTACATTATGCCATCGTTATTCTAACGCTTATAGAAACTGAAAATGGTATGAAGTGTGAAATACTTAAACTCGATTTCTAATTCAACAGTGTAAAATATTATGTGCACCTTAAAATTAAAGTCTCGCATCGTGCGGTATTCTTGCGGTATATACATATATATCAGTTATTTGTCTCGCATCGTGCGGTATTCTTGCGGTATATACATATATATCAGTTATTTGAAGTGAACGTACGTGACAGAGAACATAGCTCTGAATAAGTACTGCTCCATGATGGAGCCCTTGGGCCATAAAACCCAAGGTTAAGAAGTGACACGAAAACTACATTTATTTTCATAAGCGTGACACCCACGTTCAATTTTCCATTACAAGTGATTTCATTTTTTTAATATTTTCACACCTTATTTGGACAGACTAACAACATACAGCCAGTATAATCTGACATGAAAGCCCCTGGAGCAAGGAATCGATGATTGAGTGTGTTCGAGTAAGACGACAGTAGCGGTAAAGTATGTCGACTTATACTCTAGTACACTTGTCTTGTATATCCTTGAGATCTATAAAAACTTATTTGTCTGTCTCAACAGCGCGGCTGTGATTGGTCAGTTTGGCTCTTTTAAGAATTATTGACTAGAGAGGCTATATAGCAGCACCTCCTACCATCTAAGTGCTTTAAGAACTGTCTGTCTTATTTTCTCTGTATAGTATATACATTTTAGGGGTGTAGATTCTACAATGAGTAAAACGTTCGAGATAACATACTAGAGAAATATGGTTCGATTCTCGGTCGTTATTATTACACATTTTAAAATTGCTTTCCACGTAAGGTACTCTGCTACGAACTGGGGGCATTAGGAGTAATCATTAGATTGGATTAAGATATCTATTGATACGAGTTTAGAATCATAACTGAACTGACTGTGAGAACTAGAACAGCGATGATTGACTTTAGCGCCGTGAGATTTAGAAATTAAATTAAAAATTAAGAACACGATACCTTTAAGGAGGAAAATCTTATGTTTAAAACCAGGTATCAGTATTACAGTGGAGTGCTGTTAAGAATATTCGATTTTCCACATGATTTTTATGATATTTGAGACATTACACTACTCATTCAAATGACTCATTTGAGACTATCCCCCTTTCCTTGGGGGTGGGGGGGGGGGGGGGGTAGAGTATGATGCTAGGAACCGAGGGGGTAGGGCTTCAGGGAGAAATGAAGCCAGGAAAAAAACGGCTACCACTAGTCACTGGACAATTTCCAATATTAACATAAATAAATGATAAAAATATAATATAAAGTCTCTAAGATGGGAGTTTTTAGGTTAAAATGTTTTCAAGAATATCCGATCAGCTTGTTATTTATATATATTTTTAGAGTCATCAAAATAAAATGTTGATAATATTAATTATTTTAAATCTATTGGTAATTAAGTTGACCCTAGGGGAAGAGAAAGAAGAAAAAAAACTGTTGTTGATGTTAAATTATCATTCAAAGTGATTTCATTGTTTTATAATACGAAAAAAAGACGTATATTTCCATTTACGTCTAGCTTTTGGCTGTTTTGATTTCATGGTACGTTCGTGGTTGCCATATATCTTCAAGAATGAATTAACTTGGAATTCTGCTCTCAGAAATTAAGCCCTAAGGGTCTTTTCCTGATGGTACAACATTATTTCTGCATCTCTGATCTCTTAATAAATCATAAACATCGACAAACGTCTTCCATTATAACACAGATTACATAGACAGATAAGCCGTTCAGTCACCTTGAATCTTTCATACAAAAAACGATCAAAGTAGGGAAGTAGGATTGATCGATATGGCATATGAGGGAGCCAGTGAGTCTGATGTAGTGGGGAATATAGTTCTTTTTCTATAGACGTAAGAACAATGCGTATAAGTGTTAGATGAAGTCATTCACGTTTAGCTATCGGGAAACTCTAACATCAGTAACATCAATAGTTGGCAGTGATTAACGATCATTTTCAAGTTTATATGGATTTGAAACAATCGTATGACATTAGGTAAAAACGGGTGCGGAATCCCAGCTGAATTGCAAGATATAGGAACACTGATATGTGAAGCTGAAAGTGAAAACACACTGAAAACAATAGAATAGAAGTATATTTGAATCACAATGTTCCTACATCATAAACAAGGCTAGCCAATATCAACACACCAATACAGGTATATACGACGCACCGAAAACAATAGTAGAATAACTATATTTGAATCACAAGTGTTCCTACATAAACAGGGATAGCAAGTATCAACACACCAGGTATTTAACACTTTGAGAATATTCTTAAACTGGTCTGTAGCTCACGTTTATTGGACTGATTTTATAAATGGATTTTTTTCACCACTTTGATAGTTTTCAGTAGGTTACTATCGTAGAAGTTTTCGTRCCTCTATCTATCTCTTAGCTATTTCTACCAGAACCTCCTTGGTATATATCCTACACTATCGTASAAGTTTTCGTRCCTCTATCTATCTCTTAGCTATTTCTACCAGAACCTCCTTGGTATATATCCTACACTATCGTASAAGTTTTCGTACCTCTATCTATCTCTTAGCTATTTCTACCAGAACCTCCTTGGTATATATCCTACACTATCGTAGAATTTTTCGTACTAATTAGAGCTAATTGAACAAACAAAAGGAACTACAATAAGGATTTTGGTACTATATAAAGACGCAAGAAGAAAAAGTAGTCATATAAAGACGTAAGAAGAAAAAAACCTAGGGAATTCTGATTTTAAAACTTGTAGTATTTTGTTGACAAATGATTTTTTCATTTTTGAAACAATTCTTATTTTTCGCACAAGGCAGGCTTAAAGTGAAACGACACTCCTGACAATTTTATCAAAACAGGGATTAAGGAAACAATCACTAAAAAACACTTCAAAACAAACAAAACCAATCCCGCCTAACAAAAGTAAACTAATCTAGCAATAAAACTTAAAATAATATCGAATTTTGACTTGAATTTCGAACATCATCATAATACTTTGTTCTGAGCTATTGCTGTGTGTAGGACATTTGGCTATTGATTTTTGTTTGTGTGCTCAGCAAATGGTCTCGGCCAGGAGAAGAGCTTATCTTCATTAATAATTTAAATGATAAGCGACAAAACTTTTAATGCTCATTGTTTTCGAGATTAATTTCTAATCCGTATAAAAATAGTAATAACTGCTAAGGCTATTGATTAACGTGCCGGCCCTGTTTTTTCTTTCACGAAACAGTTATTTTAATTGCCTTGAGGGCTATAAGATGGCTGGATAATCATGGACGCGAAGAAGGCTATTATGAGATTATGGATAGCATAGATGAATCTGAAATGGGGGGAAAAAACGGGATATTCAGCAAAAGTGTTTGATCGACATCATTATATTTCTAAGCTATCCCAAGCACCTTTGCAAAAGTCTCCCCAGGTTGTCGCTTTTTTAAAATACTTTCTTAATAATAATAATAATGGAACTTATATAGCGCACATATCAAAATTCATGGCGCTTTACAATAAGAAATAGTATGTTACACTACTTTTAAAAATATACATGTTTTACTTGCTAGATCTTGATGCTAGATCTTCTAGTAAATTTTTTCAATGTTTTTACACCAAGTGAGTAATTTAACTGACTTTAGCTCTTCATACTAAACATGAAATGCCTTTATCACTAGAAAGTTTAAAAATATATTACGTTCTGGCGCATGCGCAAGATRGACTTGAGAAATGCTTTTTAGTATTCTGGATCAAACTGAAGATTATATGGAAAATGTTCAAAAAAGGTCTTTTTCTTAGCAAAAGGCTTAAGGCTGTTTATAAACAATAAATAACAAAAACAGTTTAGAGAATAGCACTTTAAAAAATTCGTTTTAGTAATACTGACAGGTATGTATTATTCTACTTGCGGTTTCTAAATATTAATGATATTGTATAGGAGATCTCACCATGTTGGGAAAACACGATTAGAATTACAAGAAAAACCCCACACCTCACATAAACAGCCAGGCTTTTATGAACCAGCCAACAGAAAGACGTTCTCAAGTGGTTTGGTTATCCCCTCAGTTTGTTTTAGTATTTAAATAAAACAATAGAAAGTTTACCAACCAATTAAAACACATTACTCTTAAATACGTATAGTTACGTTTGCATTGGGAAACAAGTTTTTTTACTTGTTAATGAGTTCGACTTTATATGCAAGGTCTTAATGCTCTAGACAACGCTAATTGGCTCGATAGAACCAGTTGTAGTTGTCCTATTGCGAAGGTTGGGCAAACGACATGCCGAAGAGTGTATCCTTTCAGGTTCTTTGATGCACGCCTCCAAGACTTCAATTCTTTATTCATCTATAAGAGGTATTTATAGAAGGCTTTCACAACTGTAAGCAGGCAATTAGGAAACATAGAAATTCCGCCATTGAAGACAAGGGTCCATTTTACCACTAGACGGCGCTCACATCCTCAAGTGACCGCTAAAGACTTTACGCACGAAGTATTCATTTTATTTTTCATGATTTTTCCTGTGCAGATTCATATGATTATCCCAGCTTTCTATCTTCCTCTCTCTTAAACAAAGACAGCTCTAGCTCAGACCGGTTTCAATAACGTTCAGTTTCGAATACAAATCTAATAAATTGCGTGTGGAATGAGATGGCTTAATTTCCTCGCCGGCTCCAGGTATTTTGATGTCGTATAGTCTTATCCTATGAATACGCTACTAGATGTATGTTTATTAGTGGTGCAATATTTACTGTCATGTCTTATTCATGTYTTTTATACTTAAATATAACACTAAAAGGCTAATCCATGGCACGGACGGGAATCAAGCCAAGCTGACAGGTGTACAGTGGTCAGATCTTATCGCCGTCTTGGTAACGATGAAACAGCAGCAGCTCTGGCAAACGAATGATTCGAATCTATCAGTACCTTAATGCCTTTCAAAACGTTAAGTTTTCTGGAGATAAATAGCCAATTAAATCTACTGATAAAAAGATTAGACAAAAAGCGATTCGTTTTTTAGGTCGAGAAAATTGAATAGAGATTGTAAACGATATGCAAGTGTTAAGTTTCATGAAAGACTTTTACTTTCCTTTACCATTTATTTTTTTCAAAGTAACGATTTTAAACTTCAGTGTTTGTCTTTCCCCAGGTACCTCAGGTTTAAACATTTAAACAAGTAATATAAACTTATCGATATTTACGTGATATATAATCAGATATTCAGTAGCAGGTGGAATACTAGTTATATTGTGGTTTTATAATAACATAAATTCTCTCATCACATTGATTCCTAGTAAACTCTACAAGAAAATAATTAACAAGAAACAGTATTTTTGAACCAGCATATTGCTATCAATGCAATGAATACCAAAATACAAGCTTATTTTTCTGCATATGATTAATTGGGGGAATACTAATTGAGTTGGTTTGCGCCTTGCTGTTTTCTTGGGAAAACAACTCAGTTTTTCACAGTAGTTCTATATGCTCTCGGAAAAAAGGCTTTTCTATTAAGGCCCAATCTTCTAGGACATCATCAGTTATAATAAGACTAACAACTGAGCTAATTACAAGCACACCAACACTATATATGTAAGTCGGTTGAGAAGTCTGACTTGCTAGCCGTATGTACTTGACTTCAATACAAAGCGATTTTGTTCTATACAGGGAATCGGTGCAGTTTTGGTTCACCACATATTAGTTACCGATTCAGTAATTATTCAATTTGAATCGTTCTACGTAAGTAGACTCGTCGTTCAGACAGACGAAGAGCCTACAGACTAGTCAGATTGGCCTTTAAATCTTTTTAATGCCAAAACTACAGCACTACAGTACGATGACTGCTATATAGATGGAAATGTTACTGGGTTTGATAAACTAATCTGGAGATGTCAACAGATGGTAGTTTTTCTCTCATAAGTGACAAAGTTGATTTATTATGCCTACGCTTCAAGATTTGATCATCAATTGACGCTGATTTAGATTTTTCTAATCAGCAATTCTAGAAACATTGTGCAGGTAGTCTGTATTTTCTTATTTAGCGATGGTTTTCGATATGCATTTCTCCCATTACCCGATTTATATTTCAGTCGACTATTTAGTTATAATTTATAATTTTAAAATTAGGTTTTTTATTTGTTTTTATTTTTTTTATTTTTTACACTCCACTTCATAATACTTCGAGTATACTGCCTTGTTAATCTTGTAATACCGGATTTCTGTTCTCAATATCAATAATCAATAATCAATATCTATTCATTTCTTGCTCTATTTTTGGCTTGTCATTTATGTATTTATTAGTATATTCGCTTTTTTTTAATCATTTTATTTCTTAACCTAATGTTGTTCTGTTCCTGTTTGATTTCTAGTTTCACTCTGCTGATCCATTTTTATGACTAGTGATTACTACTTCAGCGAATAAGAAGGAAACTTAATCATCGTGTAAAAAAGTTTGTAATAATACTGACGTCTCGAATGTTAGTAGGCCTTCGTCGTCTTTCACTCCGAAAAAAGACGAAACGTCATTTTAGTTTCAGACTTATTTGCACAGTATTTAAAGTTTCTTTTTTTTTTTTTTTTTTTTTTTTNTTTTTTTTTTTTTTTTTTTTTTTTTTTGACTTCCATTAGTTTATTTTATAGCCTCTTTTTTCCCTTTATTTATTGTTTGGTTCATACTCTTTTTTCATTTCAGAGTTTGTGAATAATCCATGTTATAATGATGCCCTGGTCAACATGTACTCTACCCCTTCTACTATTCACGTGCTGTTTCATCCCTCAACTGGTTTTTTCACTTGACGAGTGYAGAAATAAAACAAATTCAGTGTGTTCCAGTAGCAGTGGTACTTGCCCTGGCTGTCTCAAGATCTTATGGCAAGAGTCATTATCAAGATCACCGTATGTCCAGATAATCAACAACAACACCGAAGGGCTTCTCTTTCGTAAGTTTTCCTGTGGTTTTCCTAATCTAATTGATTCGTTAAGGAAATAGGAAAGACAAAAGATGGGCGGTTTACGGACCTGACTTCGTAGCGAGGATTGAGCCGTACTTTAAAGTACTYGAAAGTTCGACAAAGATACGAGTCATTATGCCTTTTTCGCTAAATTAGATGCTGACTATTGATTTCATCTGCGTCCTATTCTGACTAGTAATTTTTATGGGAGATTCGTATAAACTCTTGATTTCAAAATTTCTGGCGCGAGTAAAAGAAGAAATTTAACTTACGTCGATAACGCAGGAGTTTATAAGTCACCTTGATTTCTTGAGTCACCATGACCTAAGCGTTTCGTGCCGGATAGAATTCTAGGATCGAATTTAGAGGTTAGTTTTAGCTGGGATATATAACTAGAGAATCCAGAGAAAGCATACCGTGGGGGAACCAAGAAGCAGTTCTATCCCATGACGTGTGAAGAGGGCCGAAACCAACGACCAGAGCGGTGAAAGTCGGTACATTAGCAGCGCACGAAACCTTTTCTTTTCTGTTTTTTTTTTTTTTTTTTTTAAACCAATGAATGCTAGCACGTAATTTTCTAAAGAAAAAGCAACAGATTTTGAAAGTCAGGGTCAAACATCCTTCAGTTTTAAAATTTTATATTGAACACGTGATGGTGTTATTTTTAGATCTTCTGATGACTATGCTATCTCAGTGCTGTGGTTTTCAAAATGACGATTGTGGAGAAGTCAAACACATCAAAGAATACCAGTATGACATTGGAGATGTTGGCTTAGAATACGATGTTAAGATGCCAGTACTTGTTAACTTCAAAGAAACTGGCCTTCGTTCACAGAAGAACGTGGTACCCATGCTTCCTCATACGGGTGTGGCGTTCGTCGTTCGGAGAGATCGGATAGAAAAAGACTATTCTATGCAGCTCCTTGGTGCTGTCTTTGGTGCTTGGCCAGTACTCGTTCTCACGCTTTTGCTGTCTGTATTGGCCGGAGTTATTGCCTGGGTCCTGGTAAATACTAGATGATATACTTTGTAAACAACGTATTATCGTTGATTTTCTTAGCATTAATCTTTCCTTTTTTTCAGGATACAAGAAAGAATCCGAACGAATTTCCGCGTTCCTTTACTAAGGGTGCTAGTGAAGGTTTCTGGTGGGCATTTGTTTCTATGACAACTGTCGGGTAAATATCTGTTTGGTGTTTGCGCAAAATATAATAAATTCCGATTGGCTGGCGAATTTCAAAGTAAGCAATACCGTCTGAATGGGAGTAAATTAACACCTTTTTACTTGATAAAAAATAATGATATTCAATCATACATTCAACTATCGTCCAGGTTAGGTGATCTAACGAATCTGTCTTTGGTACGTTAAAAATTACGATTAAGATAGTCTCTTGCGACCTTATGGGTCTAGTGGAAAGTCCGCTGACAAGAAGATTCGACATAATTGATGGTATATTACCGGTTTTCTATGATAACAAAGAACCTTCGATGCAAGATCACTTAGGAGGACAAAGCTTACTGTCTAATTTATACAACATGACTGCTGCGCCACGAACACAAGATCTAAGCTAAGGAATTCTCTGAAATTTTGAGAAAATTTGCTTTTTTTTTGTATAGGTATGGCGATCGGTCACCTAAATCTCTACAAGGTCGAGCCTTTGCAGTGATCTGGATCTTGATCGGAATCTGTATTATATCAATATTCACTGCCACACTGACTACCTCTCTGACTACTGTATCACTTGAAAACAAAATAAGCCTTCCAGGATCCAAGGTACGTGACATGAAGTGGGTGTCTTGCTTCTGTATGAAATTTAGTTGTACTTACCAACATATCTGTTGGCCATGGTCGTGTCTTCCGCTAGTGCCTTCTCTCTCTCTCTTTTCTTTTAAGTGCTCCTCTTGGATATTCGCTTTTAATCCATCACAGTCACCACACCTACTTCCACGGCTTGAAACTGATTTGCTGTGAAAGGGACACAGATATTTAAATAAGTACAAACTTCGTTACACACGGGGGTAGATATTCGTGTTCAAGAGGAGGAGAGGGAGGGGTAGTTTATTTAGGCCAACAGCGAGTAACCCAAGATGCAAAATCAGGGTATATAGTACAGGTGCTATTCTATTATCAACATTTTTATAATCTATCAATGTGCTGGTTATATTAGGTCGCCGCATTGCTGTACTCTATCGAAGCCATTAATGGATTTCAGCAACAAGCTGATGTTCAACGTAAGTAAAAATTAAGATCTTCCATTTATCAACCCACACACACCTCAGAAACACATAAGTACCTACCCACCCATATACCAACCATTCATCTATCTATCCATTCACCCACCTACCCATCCTTCCGCCCACTCAACTACCCAACGAACCATCCAGAACCCATTCATCCACCCACCTACCCCCTCAGACATACATCCACCCATTAATGATTTCGAATTACCCTCTTTAATTTAATTTTCAAAATAACAGGGTGCAGAGACTTTGAAGAACTAATAGAAGCCTTGGAATCTAATACAGTAGATGGTAAGTCTATAAATACTGTTCCTCTGAATGATCTTAGTTGCAATGTCATCACTATCGCGTGGGAGGTCGTGGGTTCAAGCCTCGGCCGGACCAACACTCAGGGAGTTAAAATGTCTGAGTAGAAGGTGCTGCCTTTGCTATTAAAAAAATCTGCAAATGGTTAGACCGGTAACACTGTGACTCGGATAACCACTTAATAAGATGTAGGTCCCGTCTTATTCAGAGACGTTAAAAATAGGGCGACAGGTCATCAGTTTAATTTGGCAACTGTCGCGTGTCACCCTCTTGAAATGAAGATGATGATGATGATTATCAATCTGTTTGATTCGTTAAACCTCTAATTAAGTTTTTTTTTTTTTTTTTTTTTTTTTTTTCTTTTCCATTTTTTTTCTCGTAAAGGTGCTTTGCTGGATAGTTATGTTATATCGAATTACAAGGAGCGTCTGCCAGACTCCAAGTATAAAGTACAAGAAATCATACACCAGGAAAGCATGGAATATGGAGCACATGTCAATGACAGCAACTTAGCAGCCTGTATGAAAAACTTCCGATATGCCCAAGAATCTCTTGTCTATGAAATAGTTGAACTAACGATGAGAAAGCCTATAGCGGTAAGTTATTATAAAGTCAACTCGCTACGCGCGCTCTAATTGGTTCAAATTGATAGTAACCCCTTATGCGCATGCGTATGCGGTTTTCTGAAAAACACGAGTTTTTTAATCAAAAATTAAATGTGCTTCTTCTTAGAGCGTGCTGATTCCTTCTGCATATGCGCAGCCGGCTTTATAAACAATAATGATTAAAACTGCATTGAAAACTTTTCAATATATAGCACGTACCTGATATCTCTTATCCTTCTCGTGCATGATTCTATTCTCCTATCTCTTTAGAGCGGTGTCAGAGAGGGATCTCAGTCGTCTCAGAGCGTGTTTGATCCTGAAAGCGAGTTGTTTGTCCGTACTCTCTACACGTGTTTGGGCGTGGTTGGCTTTGTCCTTATCCTTGGCTTCATATACGAAATAATCAGATACAAAACATCTGGATGTCCTTTTATTTTTCGTCGAGGTTGGTATTAAGTGATAGAAGATAGAAGGAGGGTCTGTAAATAACAAACAATAGATTGTTAATGAGATTATATGACATTGTCATTATTACTACATTGAAATTAAGGAATTTCATTTTAGAGTTCCTATCCAGTCAACCTCAAAAAAGTTAACGAGTTAATGGAATGAAAAGTCAAGTAGAAATTCAGCATTAAGAGGGGGGGGAGGTTAGGAGGAATCAGAATAAAAATATACTGACCATCCTCTCTTAAACACACTTGCACCACTTGTCCAACTCTCTCGGTTGCGTGCAACAAGTTTGGTCTTGTGAATGCTACCTGGGTGGCAAAAGCGCGATTTAGATACCCAACATTAGCGATTTGCTCTTTATATTCCCTTTCTTTCTGTCAATCTAGGTTCAAGGAAAGGAGATCGATTGACATTGAACAACGCAAGACCTCCTTTTATGAACGAAAACACTACATTAGATGAAATGGAGAGAAAACTAACCGAAGAGCTTCATAAGGCTGTTGGAACGTGGAAAGCAAAAATGGAAAAGAGAGACAGTTACCTTCACACAGATGAAGTACTCTCATCTGTTTGATAGAAATGACATGTATTAGGTTTTTGCTTATCCCTTGTGTGCTTGGTGCAACATAGGGAAACTTTAGTCCTTCATAATATGTGACTTTTATAAACTTCTACTGCATGGTCTTCAAAGAGAGAAGATGAATCACTTCATTTTGATAGCCGGTTATAAATAGTCTTCTAATAGGAGCTATTTATGAGGATCCAGACCAGTTCCACTTTAGCTCACGGATTTAAAGGACAAAGGCGTTGTAGAGTTGTACTCTTCCAGACAGTTTTTCCCCTCTCATTCAATTATTGGCGGTGTAAGACTAGTGAGATCACTTACTTTATCGATTTTAGCTCAAGTTCCAAGGACAAAGGCGCAATATTTCGAGTGCATGTCTTTCCACTGTCAATCATAACCAAACCCGTGCGTCGAGTTGGATATTATCAATCGCTGTTAAAATTGCTGAGACAAAGCACTCATATATCTATTTGAATGTTCTGAGCAACGAAAAACGCACGCTAAAGAGAAGGAAAGCGTTTTTGTCAGGAAAAGCGACAAGACACATTTATTATCACCTGCAATTTTAATAAAGGAAAAATTATTTCCTGATGATCGCACACTTTAGCAAAAGATGGTTTTAACTGAACAAGAAGGGATAAGACCGTATCGGCAGCGAAACATCTCCAATACAGTTCTTGAAAACTGGAAACGGTAGCAACAGAAGGTATCAAAATAACAAGAAGAAATAAGACCGTATCGACACAGAAACATCTCCAATACAGTCCTTGAAAACTGTCGCTACATTTCAATGTGGAATGTATGTCAATGATGGCTCGATCATGGAAAAGACGACATCATCGTTGAATATACTACATCGTTGTTATAAATATTATATAAAATAGCACTCGTACAACACTACTGGAAATGCTTGGTATTAATAGCCAAGTAAATGAATTTCGTAACTCCTAGCTATTAACAAGTTTCAGTGAAGGGCAAATACTGCCCGTTATGTGGTATCATCCATGGAATGTACTATTTCTTGGGTGTTATTAACATTGGAGGGTAAACACTGTCCGTCATACTCTATTGTCAGTACACACTTCTAATGAAAACTTTTCGAATAGTAATATTCCAAAGGAGACCGGAAATAGCGTCTATTGATCAGTAGTCACCTATAAAAGGCGAATTAGCACACATCTACTGAATATTTCTTCTCACAAAAGTTGGTGTAAACTTTTTTCGAGCGAGTACTAGTCATTTCGAGTAATTTCAGCACGACACAAACAGCTCTATATACGAGATTAATTCAATGGTTTACATCTTACACATTTATTTCAAAAAAACTATTTTCGTCTCGAATATCTTCCAAAGGTATCGGTGGGTTGTTTCACAGTATTACTAGGTAATGTTTCTTATATCGTAACGTGAGCCGCGTAAACGAGTTACTAGAAATAGTGTTTAATATTCGTTAAATTTCGTCGCAGGTTCTAGCAATCGTTGACGAAGTAGGCCGAGTTTTCCTTTTTGTAACGATTGCGGTCAAAATTTCGAATGTAACACCCTTTTTACTACTTGCATGGCACCAAACTTGCGAGACAGGTTGCAAAGATCTGTCTGATGGGTAGAACTCTTTCATAAGGATATTTGATTTAATGAAAGGCTAACAAGAAAAACCTACAAGTGAGATGTTTTGGTGTTTCAGTATACATAACATACACAAGGAACCCACTTAAAGAAAAAAACTTATTAAAAAAGACACATACATGACTTTTATTTAAGGTCTATGGGATCTCCCCATGTCCCTGTGTTTGCGCTTTTTAGTATAGGCTATTTCCTTGCTGAACGTGGATTCCTCCATTTTGATCTATATTATAATATTGCATTCATCGCTTAAAGTTGCAGTTAAATTGCTAGACCAATTTAAGATCACGGGTCATTACCTTGAGTATTATCTCTTTATTCACTGGTAACTTTGAGAACTGTGATGTCTTAATGTGGATAGAGACACAGCGAACAAAAAATATTGTTCCCAAGAGAATACTATTTGGTCTGAAGTGGTTAAACGTTACACCCAAGACAGATGCTTTATTTTTGTTTATCTTATAATCCTTTTTTTTTATTTACATAGGCGCAGATGACACGAGTGAAAAACGTCTGCGCATGCTCTGAATCCGTATGTAAATTAGTCAAAGTATTTGTAAATTTGACTTTCAAACATGACTGATAAATTTGACTTCTCAAAATGCCAACACTTAGTGTCCATGCTTGAAACTTAAGGCTAATTCTTTTATATTGTGTTTATTAATACAGTATCTTGGTCTGAAAAAAGTATACTCGCGAAATTTTTTGTATACTTTGAGATACTCTTCAAAATTCTTAGAAAACTTGCTGAAATGCACGCATGCGCAAACGTTTTTCTCTAGTGTCGGCGCAGATAGAGTATTTCTATCCAAATGTGATGGGTCAGCCAGCCATGAAAGGCTATCTGCGCTTTGTTGTTTCGTTACGTATGTTCATATCCTTGCGTCGCTAGTGAGAACCACGCTAAAGTAGGAAGGAAAAAAAACACCTTTAGTTATCACTTCTTCAGGAAGGACGCAAGTAAATGCTATCGAATTTTTATTCCAGTTTCATTTAGTAATTAGTCCTTGAGCCCGAATGGGTTGTACGAGTTAATAGGCCATGAGAGCGAGAGGACTAATTTTTTAATCAAATTTAGTCAAATCCAACTAGTCCGGCAAACAAGTTTTGAATCAAAGTTAAAAGTAATGTTTTGGTTTTTCAAAGTTGGCACTTTTCGCTACTATAATTTATAGCCTAGTAGTAGCTTATCCAATCAGAACACAGTATTGATGATAGACCACTAGTTGGATTTGATTATAACACAATAGACATCTAAGGGAAAGAAGAAGAAGAAGAAGAAGTCAACTTAGTCTTTTTGCAATTTAATAACCTCTTTATTTCTCGCATGCAAAGTTGATTGACATTTTAATAAATTATAAATTAACAAATGATTTCTTGTTTTAGATAGATAGGTGCCTTTCTTTTAAGAGGGTAATCCTTTCAGTAATATTATAATACACTGTTATCAATAGGTTTATGGTAGTTATGTTGTAAGTTATACAGGCACGATGCGGCAGGACAAGAGATTTTTTATTCCAAAAGGAGGAAATTACAATGTATTTTACAACATGGCTGCCATGAACCCCTCGAAGTGTAATCACATATTTTTAGCCAATTAAATTCTTGTGTCACGGTACTTAATTACAAAGTAAATAAATAAATGTTTGCCTTTCCGGCCCAGCCTTGTAGAAAAAGAGCGCGAAAAAGCACTGATGAAAAAGGTGGGAAGGGAGTGACAAAGGGATAGAGAGATATAAAAGTTTCCTCTTAAGAAAAATTAAAACTGTCTAGACAGCCAGCAATGGAGCTTTTGTCACTCATTGTAAAATATGCAGTTTTACTAAGCATGGTGATTATGGTGCAGAGGTGATCGCGAGGATAGGTTACGGACCCAATATCTACGTGTAAGAAGGAGTTGGATCTTGTAAGGAACCTCGTGTCCTCTTCTCGCTTCTATGGAAGCCAGTCCCACCAAGCATGGTGATTACATGGTGCAGAGGTGACCACGAGGATAGGTTACGGTCCCAATATCTACGTGTAAGTAGCTCCTGTCCTCTTTGCCCTCTCGTGTGGTTAAGCCCAAGTGATAAAATATATATAATAGAAGAAAACGAGCAGAAAACGTACCTTGGTGTATTGTGTAAGTAGTCATAAGAAATAATATCAGATATCAGACTTGCAGTCTATTGCCTTTTAAGGGAAAAAAACAACAAAAAAAACGTGTTACATTTGGGCCAGTTTCTATATGTTTCACTGCAAATTGACCCAAATGCCTCGACTTGAAATATTTGTTTAAAGACAATAGAGCGTGTGTATATATAGTAATAATGATACGATTATTCAGTTGATGATACCAATGATGTAGGCGGAATTGCATACAGTCAGCTGGTAAGTAATCGAGCAACATACCCAATACTTATACCGAATACCCGATACCCAACGGTTATACTCAATACTTATGTATATATGTCTGTTTTATAACTGGTGGTAAATATTTCAGCACTGCAAGTCTTCTTTCACAGGTTAAAAACTAGCCTTCTTGAGGATGCTTTTTCTCCTTTCTTGTGAATCAGAACGACCATTCTCTTCAGATTTGCAATCCTCTTGGAGTTTATCCCCTCGTTTTTCAACATGTATTTCAGAAAAACTCTGGTCGTCTTCATCGTCACTATCGCCGTCTGACATGGAAGAGGAGTCGTCATTGTCAGGAATGTCAAAGGCAACAGAGGAAAGATATAGTGAATTATGAGAGTTATACTTGCTGGACAAATCCATGACAGAAAGGTTGTCTTTCTTTGACATCTTTAAGAGGTCCTCCTTGTTTATTTTGTCCAACTTTGTTAACAAAACAGGAATAACGTCAAATAAGTCATCATTCTCGAAGTCCCGCGTTTGCATGCCGAGGGCAAATAAGATAATCTTGTCTTTCTTGTCTGTGAACTTGCTCGACTCGAACCATAATGCTGTACGAAGATCCTCATCAGAAAAATTTCTCATGTATTCCATTATCACATCGGTCTTTTCGTCTATTGTTTCGACTTGTATCTCCAGGGATGTCTTGGGCCATGTATAATCAGGCTTGATAGCAACGTTACTCAGTCCAATTAAAGAACTCATTTTCCTTACCATGAAATCGACTATTTCATATTCATTGGACTGCGCGGCAGCGTCTGTCCTGACCATGTTGAAACTGTCGCTGAGGATACCAATGAACATGTTAACAAGTATAAACTGTACTATGACCATGAAGAAAAAGAACATGATCGGCCCAATAATACGATGCGCATCATTTAGGTCCTGGAAGTGGAAATCACCCATCATCATGCTGAATAACGAAACCATGGATCGAATCAAGGTACGATATTCTTCAAGAACAGATCCAAATATCAGGTTTGTCATTGAACAGAAAGCAAAAATGACAATGAAGATCATGACAAAGAAGCTTAAGATCATTTTTGATGCATATCGAAGAGTGTCAGAAAGCATCGAGATCTTTCTATTGAAGCGCAGCAGACGAAGGAACTTGAGACTACACAGCATCACAACACAAGCCGTCAAAAAGTTCAAAACTTCGTTTAACAGAACGACGTACTGAAAGCTGACATATTTGTGTCGGTCGTAGTGGAACTGATTAATTGCTTTGTTGATGAACACTAGACGTGCGATGTAGATTCCAACTGAACAGATTGAAAGGGACGTAACGAGCGAGTCAAACACATTCCAGAAACCTTTCCAATACTGTTTTCCTTCCCTCGCTATTTTCTTACAATCCCTGTAAATCCAGTAAAATACCAGGAAAATGAATATAACCTCGAAGCCCATTACAGCCTTAGCGACGCTGCTCAGATAGCGATAGAGCTTGATCGTTTGCACATTGATGGAAGGGATTCCATTGCCACTGGGTAGAAACTCGTAGAGCAAAGTAATGACACAAAGAAGATTAACGTCAACATTGTAGATATTAATTTCTGTGAAAATGGCTCGAGTATATTGATCAATCCAGTTATTTCTGGATAACTCATGGACAGTTTGGAACGCTGTGTCGTTTGTTGGCCCAAGCTCCATTATATAACCACCACCTTGATAAGTTGTCATCTTACCAAAATACGGGAAACTTTTGATCTCCCAAGCACTGGTGTAATCCCAAGGAGTTTTCTTTATTTCCTCTATTATTAGGGATGTATTAGTGAGAGGTCTCCATCCAGGAATAAAATTATTTGTTTCTTCATTTGACCATGAATAGTCTTCTGTACAGTCCTCAAACTTTCCCGTGAATATCAATGGAACTTTGCAAGTATCTATTGAATAACATAAAGATTTTCAATAAGTATCAAACTCCATCGTACATTTTAGCTGCGCATGTATGACAGTGTGTGAGTGAGTACGTACGTAGCCATTCTGAGGTTTGGGATAAAACTTGGCCGAGTTGCGATGCATTGTGGGGCTGTTTTAGGGGGCATATTTCGTCCTCTAAAAGCACCCCAAAATGCACTGCAATGCAAACTCGACCCAGTTTTCCTTCAACCTCGGAATATCTAATTGCCTAATTTCACTAGACTTGAGTTCCTGTCTTGTGCGAAATGATTATCAGCTGAATCCCCAACGATAGAATTCTTTCTGGCGGAAAGCACATGGTAGTCAGTGAGTAAACACCAATTGGAGGGTATTTTGAAATTCAAAGACTTTTATCGGGGGCTCTTTCAAAAGCAGTAATTAAGATTCTCAAATCAAGATTTCCAAATATATGCAATAACTTGATCACGCCATTTGTTCTGCAGGGAGTACGGGAGCTTGCTAACAATAGTCTGCATATTCGGTGAATGGTTAAGAACTGCAAGATGTCGGATATTCTTCATATTCAAATTTTCACAGTCGATCGCAGTTGATCTTAGTTTACATGGGTTATTATTGTAACTTTAAATGAAAATAATAAAATCGGTTCGTATAATCCTCGTAGCGGTTAAACAGAATGCAATGTTTGTCCGAATCTTTAAGCTATTTTTAGAATCAGTGCGCTGCGCTATTGCGCAGACTCACTTAATTTAGTAGAATGAAGTTCACGCATGCGCAAACGCTTTTCACTGCTGTTGTTTAATAATGCTTACGTTTTTTGTTCCTGAGCTGACGTAATCGCCCTACACCAACCATGTTAGAAGTCTTTTTATTATGCATGATATCCATATATGGGTATCCTATGAGGTCATCTACAGGGTACAAGTTTGGTATCAGTTGGGTTATGGTCCAGTCCCAGAAGTTATGATCATTATGTACCTGGAACAAGAGATAAAAGCAATACTGTATTAATGAGCAGTGTCAAATAAAATATGAGCTGCCATCCATGGGACGTTATGTGCGGTCTCGTATAAAACTGTCATCAGCTGAGTGGCAAGTTTTCAAAATGTGCCTTATGACGGTCAGGGTTAACCCTTGACTGAGAATCACTATATGCATTCAGTTGATTGATACCAGTAATGATAAAATAACAAAAGCTGTAGATGGTAACAATGATAGTACAAATCTCACCCCACAGGATAAAGAATAAACATTCTATCGCTTAAAGCCCCGGCGTACCTGTGTGAAAGCTGGAATGCCATCGGTAAGTATGTCAATGGCTCTCTTGCTATAAGAGAAACTCTTGTTGTCATGGCTACCGTGACCCACGAACAGAACGATGATGACCACCAAAAAGTGTAGAACAATTTCACGAATGATGGCTAACATCTGCTTTTCTTTTAATCTAAGAGCTCTTGCTCTTTCTAATTGCTGTTTCTTTAGTGGCTTACTGTACAAAGCCATTTTCTTTGCGTAGTTTTCTTTTGTCAATGATGAGTCTGTTTAGAATTAGAATATAACAAATTAGTACTTCGTATAAAGTGCAATATTGCTTTAAAGTCTGTACGAACTGGGCTAGAGTAAAGTGTCACACCGCTGCCACCATCTTAATGTTTTATTGCATCATCATTGTATCTTACAAAAAGATAAGAAACAACGGAAAACAAGGGCTTATTTAAATGCCCGATAGATGACAACTGTGCAATAATTATGCAGCAAAATGTATACAGTTGCTTCCCCTGCTAGTTATGGTTTTTAAATTATGCAAGGTAGTACCTTTAAAACTTTCTTCTCCTTGCTCGTAGTCGGCGTCCAAGTCTTCTTCTTCCTTATTTGGATCCTTTATTATAAGAGCAAAAAACAGGCCAAGAAGGAAGACTTTGAATGGTTGAATAACGACGACTGACTGGAAAAACGAGATGGCCATAACAGACAGCCATTTCTCTGATTTTTCTTTTCCAAAAGTAAACCCGTACAATAGTGTAAAAAAAGCACAGGTAACACAGCTGATGAAACATAGTATATATGCGATATATATACACCAATACGGAAACAGCAACGTTTTCTTTTTCGTGTTCGAAGAATCCTCTTTAGTGTTATCCTTGTGTTCTTCCATTTCCTCTTTTTCATCTTGTTCTGATTCTAGGCCTTTCTCGACGTTACTGGGCTCTCTCTGAGCGTCTTCTTTGTATTCCTTAGATTTTTGTTTTTTAGGGGCGAGTTTACGGAATATAGTTACCAGTAAGACGTTTACAGGCATCACTACGATACTACTTTGAATTCCTATTATAATCAGGCTCCAGCTTAACTGTATGGGACCTAGTTTGATAGTGGTATCTTGTGCACCTCCACCAATTTCAAAGAACATTGCATTGGATAGCATTGTGCTAAAGAGAAGAGAAAGGCAACAGGATAGACGTTGTACACGTGTAAAGGTGCTTTGAACTGGCCTTGTGTAGACTGACAGCCAGAGATGGCCATCAAATAGGTTTCTTCGTGTTGCGTTGATGAAAAGGATGTTAAATTGTGTTAACTCACTCCGGGTGGCTGTCTGTTGAACAAGTAAACACCCTTTAAATGAACCAACTGTTTTCAGAATTTTCGTGGATATGTGCGTGACATTAGGACTCGACTGTGCGTGACGTAATCCTAAAGCATCCAACATTTGAAAATGATTTATTGTGATAACTCGCTTTAGGTGGCTGTAGTGAAAATTAAGTAAACACGCTTTAAATGAACCAACTGTTTTCAGAATTTTCGTGGATATGTGCGTGATATTAGGATTCGACTGTGCGTGACGTAATCCTAAAGCATCCAACATTTGAAAAAATGCAGATCTTCTAATGTGTTAACTCGCTCTGGGTGGCTTTAGTGAACAGGTTAACAATCTTTACATCAACCAACTGTTTTCAGAGTATTTTTAATATGTGCGTGACATTAGATCTCGACTGTGCTTAGTAATCCTAACATTAAGCAGTTCTTATGAGTGTGGACAAAAAGACATGGAAACGGTACAAGTACAACAAATCTTTGTGGCTAAATTATAGCAGTGAGCAAAGTTTCTGCTCCTCGAAGGCGTCACAACTGCTCATCCAATTGGAATGCTTGGTCACGAAACTGCTCTATCTGGCGTGACTAGGTATTAATGAATTCGTTGTCTGACATTTAAAAGAGCAATAGTACCAGGTTTGTTTTTTTTTTGTTTTTTTTGTTTGTTTTTTTTTTGCGCGAAAGTGTGAAATTGACTGCTGAAGGCTTTGTTCAGTTGGTTTTATCATAAAGTAAGCCAGCTGGATGGACTTTTGCACCCTGAAGCTAGTGGTTTGAGGAGTATGGGACAGACAAGTGCAAAGTGACAACAGAGAAAACTTATCTATAATCTACTTTTGCTTACCTTGATTCTTCTTTCAACCATTCCATCGTCTTCATCCACAGCCAACCATCTATTCCCCACAAACCACCATTTCCTCTGTGTCTGACAGTCTCGTACTTGCATGCGGAAAAAGAACCATCCAGGGGATTTGCCAGCATTATTGTGCCAAATATGGATCTCTTTAAGACTGCCTAACGACTGAGGTGAAGTCAACAAAAATTTATCTATCGCTCCCCTTTTGAATCGAGGTACTTCTGGGTCCTTCAGTAACCTTGGCTCGCTGTCTCCAAGAGAGCCAATCAATCGTAAATACACTTCAGCGGTTGTACCAGCGTTTTGATTTAGTCCTGTGTAAACTGTAATTTCGTAGGAAAAAGTATCGCGCTGGTCGTTACCAGGAAGTTTGGTAACCTCTGCCTGGAAAAAAATCTCTTTTTAATATTTTATCCATGTGCTTCTCTAATTCTTGAAACGTTTCAAAATTCAATGCTGACCTTGACCTTTCCCCTCATTATCAAACCCAAGTCACCTTCTCTCTCCCTAATAAATCTGATCATCCTGTCCTTATTGCAAAGGGATTAAAGAATTTATATACGAGGAAATTTCTTACCTTTCGTATATCTTTTAAGTCAGCTCTTCTAGCAAAGATGACAGCAATCAAGTACAGGGCAAAAATAGATATGATGACTGCGAAGACTGTAGGATTGCTAGCAAGGTCTGAGAACCCAGCTAATGCTTTACCAAAGTCTATTGGGTTTGGCGCTACAAACATACCACCACCAAACGATGTCAAGTGATCACAAATACAGTACGTCGCGGCTGGGGATGTGTGCTCATCAACCTGGTATATTAATAAATGGTATTTATAATACACTCAACAAAATTATTTGATTCTGATTGGACAAGAGGAGCACAATTAAATCCCAAATTGTACTCTGTAGAGTCCCAATTAAATTCCTCAATTTTGTGTATTATAAACAAAATATCGCACAATGTTCTCGTACAATTCGGAATTTATAGATAATCATGATGATTTGAAAGTTCTCAAATTGGACCTAAAAGGCTTGTCCCATTTTGAAAACTTTCCAGCAAAACATTACTCGTACCTATAAATTCCGAATTGTACTCGAGATCGTGCGATTTCCTATACAAATTATGCACCTATTTAAAAGATGGTTGTTAGAGCCAACTGAGATATTAGCCGTTCCGAGATTGAGAAAAAAACTGGCTCGAGTTGGCAATACAGTGCATTGTGGGACATATTTCCCAAGATGTATTTGTTCCAAGATGGCGGCTATTTATTCCAAGATGGCGGCTATTTCGTTCCTAAAACAGCCCCACAATGCACCGAAATGTAGACTCAACCTAGTTCTCACCTCAAACTCGGAACGGTTATTATGCCACTTACCTCGCACCCGTCTCCTTTCCACGCATCGTCTTCACCATCCCAGTACCGGCATGAGCCAGAGAAAGTAGATATTGTGTAATTAAGATGTCCTGAACAGTTTTCCCTGACGTAACCATCAAGCATCGGTTTTACACAAATGTAATACACACCTGCGGCGGTACGATTGAGTTCAACGTTCGATATAAAGAACGAATAAGGATCTATCTCAACTAGAATGTCGTTTCTTGGAAGTGTCCAATTATAGTCATAATCCTTTGAACAATCATATTCATTACGCCTTATGGTGAGTGTTAGGGGAACAGAACAGTTGATTGGATGAACCGATCCATGGATAGAAGAATCGTTAGTCGTTACATTCATTCTATGAGTCGAAACATCGTGTCCTTGTGATGAATACACTCGAAGAGTGTCGGCTTTGCTCTCGGAGATGTGGTTTTTGATTACAACTTGTATTTTTTGGGTCAAATTCCCGACTTTTAAAGACTCTCCTGATTGGCTTCCTAAGTCCAAGCTGATGACGTCAGTAGCTACCGCATTTGAAGTCGGAGTCCAAAGGAATGGGTTTGATTTCGAAGAAAACATCTATCAAGAAAATTGAATCATAATTATAATTGACGTTCGCATCACGCTTTGTGTATCGAAAGAAAAAAAGAGAGAAAAATTCGAAAATGAAATAAAAAGTAAGAGTGAGAGATAAACAAAAGGAGGGAAAAATGGAAAATGTGAACAAAATGGTTTGAATGAATAAATGAATGGACGGA